ATTTTACACTGCTGTGTGAACTCTGAACACAATTGGGTAGAAATGCCACATTTCTTCTGCTGCCCACGGATACTACGTCCAAGCTAAGTGATTTTTCGTATTTTTATACCGTTTTTTCTGTTGTTTTGTTCGCTGACGAAGGCTTTCTGCCGAAACGTTTGTTGCTTTGTTGCGTTTCTTTTTTCAGGTTTGACCCTACTCTGTTTTACTCATTTTATATGTAGTCCTACACTTCGACGAGTGGCTCACTAGGTCAATCCTAGAATGACAATCTCGACTGCATTTCTAGCAGGAGAATGTTGATACCCGGCAGGGGCGTAGCTAGGGTTGGTGTCACCCCCCCCCCCCCAATCCAAAAAAACAAAAATACCATGACGGATTTCTTCTTTTTAAAATAAGTTATTGTTTCATTTAAAATATATGGTTGGTGTCACCCCCCCCCCCCCCAATCCAAAAAAACAAAAATACCATGACGGATTTCTTCTTTTTAAAATAAGTTATTGTTTCATTTAAAATATATGCCGTGAAAAAAAACACATAAATTGAAGGTCATGAGATCAATGTAATTAAAAACTATAACAACGTTAAAGTATAGTTATTTTTACATTAAATTTAGTTTATTTAAAATTTTCCTTTCCATGTCTTCAAAGCTTCAAACCTGTCATTCTCATTCACGTAATCAAAATCAATGTATTTCACTGTATCACTTTCAATTGATAGCATAATAGCAGAGCCACACCAGAAATCCTAAACTTCCCATGGTGGCTCATAAATATTTGTTGATAAGCCTTAGTTTTGAAAAGCTCCGCTCACATCAAGCAACATAACGTAAGAAATAATTCAAGGCTTTGCGAGAGTATTGGAAGAGATTCTAGGAAGTCCCTTTCAGCTATTAATTTCAAAACATCAACTACTAACCAGCTGAAAATCAGCTGCTTTTAGATGTCTTCTAAGCCTTGATATTTCTTTTAACTTTTAAAAGTTCATCTTCTGATAACTCGTCATAGAAAGAAGTTAATTTTGGAACGGGCGCCAATTCTTCTTCCCTTGCTGATAGACTATTGGGTTGAACAGCCCCAAACATATCTACTACTTACTTGATCGCTGAAAATCTGATCTAGAGCTCAGAATGAAAGCGATCAATACACTCCTATACATCTTCTTACTGTTTTCTTCTCGCATAAAGAGTCCAGCATCTATTAATTTTTCTCATGCCATTCTCTTCTTGAATCATCTTCTCTTCCAAAATTCCATATTGTTCTGATTTTAAAAATGCCTTTTCAATAGCATGTTCCACCAAGTGACGGCGCTTCTCGTGCAGAAACAATCTTAAGGCCTCTAGGTTTGTCTACACTTTGTCAAGAGTAAAGCTTTTAGTCTGCAGATACTGTTGTGTAAGATTAACTTCCTCAAGTAGATCAGCCAAAAAGGAAAGGTAGCAGATAAACGTGAAATCACAGACAGCATATAAAAGACCTTGTGCTCTACCTCTTGTATCCAAATTTTCATGAGGATTGTACGGAGCTTCATCACCGCCACACATTCATCAAACGCATCTTTCACTGTTTTAACAGCAGCATTTTGAACACTCCAAGGTGTTGATGACAGTCTTTTCACTGACATGCCAGTGTGTTCAAAGAAAATATTATTTCAACAGTACTGAAAAATGTAATACATGAAGCATTATCTGCAAAAAAGTCAAGTTAAGTGAATGGCCCGCAAATCCATTAACAATTGCTTTCTTATTATTTCTGTTTAGAATGGCTTGAACACATCCATGGATTCCAGACATTGTGGCAGCATTATCATAATTCTGTAAGAATGTCAGAACTGAGGTCATCAGCTTTTCCCCCTCTTAACGGAAAAATGCAAGAAACACTTCTCTCACTTCAACTTTCCCATTGTGGAGTTTCACATATCTGATCACTTCAGACATACGGTCCCTGTGTGCTGTATCAGGTGTACTTTTGAACATAATTCCAAAATACCTCGCAGCCTTTATATCCATGATACGAAACTCCTTTACGTGATTATATAAATTCATTTTGGGTTTCTGGTGAAAGGTAAGGCTTTTTCTGTAGATGTGCTCCTCTTTAGTCTCATTTGCTGCTCTTTAGCACTGGGTCATATTTAGATAGCACCTCAAGGGTCATATTTAGATAGCATCTCAACCACTTCAAGAAAGTTTCAGTGAAGATTCATCTTCGTAGTGGCTACGAAATGCCAGGTTTTATTTTGCAAGAAACAATGTGATATCCAGCAACATGTGCAGGATATGCCTCCACTTTTTCAACTCCCTGTCCATCACATCAATACTTTAGGCATCAATTGTTTTGTGTATCCTAAGTCCTGCTGCCAAAGCGTTCCACTTTTCAAGGCAACATAGGTGCTCTTCCTGATTAGGGTTAATGCCTTTGTCAGGTCTATGAAAACAATACAAAGTGGCATATGCTGTTCACGACATTTCTCGTACATTTGGCGAAACGAGAATATCATGTCTATTGTTGAGCGCCCACTCCGGAAGCCACACTGCCACTCTGGGTAGATGCGGTTCGCCAGACTCTGCAATCGTTTAAAGGCAACACGGGCAAAAGTCTTTTCAACTAAGCAAAGTAGAGAAATTCCTCGGTAGCTATTGCAATCACTTCGATCCCTTTATTTTTATACAATGTTATAATGATGTTGGCTTCTCTCATGTCCTGGGGAATGTGACCTGTTTCCCAACACAGACAGAGGAGTTCATGTAAGGGCTGACGTAGAAAAAGGTTTTCCTTTTTTTGAGGACTTTCGCTGGAATGCCGTCAATCCCTGGTGCCTTCCCATCAGCAAAGTAATCAATGGCTTTTTCGAGCTCCTGCAAAGTAGGCTCTTCATCCAGTTCTTCCAATACCGACAATACGGGAGTATTATTCAGAGCGGTCTCAGTAACTACATTCATTGTTGAGTATGGTTCAAGATAATGCTCTACCCAACGCCGGAGTTGATCATTTGGGTTCTGGATAATTTGACCCGTCTTGGACTTAGTGGTGCTATTTTGGAAGTGTGTGGACCTAATGCCCTCTTGATGCCCTTGCATCTCCGTTGTCGGAAGCCGATTGTATAGAGTTGCAAAGGTCTAGCCAATAAGTGTTGGCACAGTGGCGGGCCGTCTGCAGTGATTTCTTTTTTTGCGGTTCGGAGAGCCTTTAGTATACTAGCACAAGGTGCATCCCGATATGCAAGAAGGGCTCTTCTCTTCCTCTCGATTACAGGTTCCATCACATTCCAATGAATGCGCCTCGTACCAGTCATTATTTTTATGCTCCATTTTACCGTAGGCGGACATGGCTGAATCATACACAGCATCTCGTTAATGAGTCCACTTAAAGTCAATAGTACCAGCGGATGATCCTTTAGCAAGGGTATCCTGCAACACTTTTGTGAATTGCTGCGTTTTTTCTGGGTTGTTTGAGAAGTGGATATTAATTCGATGACGACACTTCTTTTTAGCATTATGCATTTTGGGGCATTAGTCGTATCTTGCTTGCTACGAGAGAATGGTCCATGTCACAGTCGGCACTATGGTAGCTGCGGGTGTGAAGTACACTGGCTAGCTCCACGCGCCTAGTAATGACGAGGTCTAGCTGGTGCCAGTGGCGGGAACGTGGGTGTCGCCATGACACCTTTTGGATTTGTTTACATTTGAAGAAGGTGTTGGTAACACAGATACCATGGGAGCAGCACAACTCCAGGAGACGTTGTCCGTTATCATTAATCCTTCCTAATCCGTGATGACCAAGACATGGAGGCCAGGCTTCCTGATTAGCTCCTACCCTAGCATTAAAGTCTCCCAGACTGTACAATGCATCGGTTTTGGGAACACGTGATAATTCTTGGTTCAGGGCCTCATAGAACAAATCATTCTCTCCTGGAGTGGAATGAAGAGTTGGAGCATACACGCTGAATACGTTGACCTTGCCTGCAGATGATGACATCCGCAGAATCCTCTCCGATCCCAATGAAGGAGGTTCAATACAGGCCAATAATGTGCTTTTTACGGCAAATCCTACACCATGCCCCCTAGGTTCATCTGCGGGTTTCCCCTGCCAGTATGTACCACCATCCGTTAGTTGGGTCTCTTGAAGACATGCAATATCAATGTTTAGTCTGGCTTTAGAAAAAACGCTTATAACATACTAGGATAAAGATGAAAACTTATTATATTTTTAAGGGGGTGGCGCATATATACTTGTATTTAATTTTGTGTCAGAGTTTCTGTCAAAGAATTTGATCACGGGGGGGGGGGGTTAATTTATCAGTGCCAAATTTAGGCATAATGGTGCCCAATGTCAGCTCTGACTTCGGCGCCCCCACTCTACAGACACTGAATTAATTCCAGTTGTGCCCCCCCCCCCCCGTGGGTATCCTTTTGGCCACAGCTTAGTTTCACCCCTGGCTTCTATATAGACAAATGTAGTACAAAGTACAACTATATTCACCATATTAAAGTACAATAATATTTTTGTTGACAAAAGAAATTATTTTTACTACAAGGAGCTAACTTCCACTTCCAGAGCAGATATATATATATATATTTTTAGAGAAAGGTGCTGGGTCTCTCACTTTGATAGGAGGGAGGGGGGGCAGACAATGGGGGAAGGGGGCCCCTTTGAGAGTTGGCTGAAAGAAAGAGTAATATGTGTGTAGGTCTAAATCAGTATTACAGACAGCCTGGACAAAGTTGATATAAGAATCAAGAATGACCTGTCTGTAAAAAAAATAAAAAAATTGTACAAAAGCGTTGGAAGCAACACCAAATGGGAAATCACATTAGTAATTTCTTTTTGCTTGCCTTACTTTCAAATGATGATTGTCAGAAGAACTTAAACTTTGATGGGAAATGTTATACAATAAACCAACTCTATAAAATAGTTTTATGATCATATGACATAGAATAATGTCATAAAACAATGATCATAGCCATATTAAAAGTTTATTGTGTTTTTAAAATTAGCTTCATAATCCAGTTTTCAACAATTATATACGGTATTAAAAATGTGCGCATAAAAATTTACTTGTCTGTAAAAATTGTGGCGATTAAGCATATTTTTAATTTTTTTATATTTTATTGAGTTGGCAACTCTGGTGTACGCCTAAGGCTTCCGAAATTTTAAGTGCCCAAAGTTGTGACACGGACATAAAATAAAAAAGAGATAAAAATTAATAATTGGCATAATATTATTTCTTTAAAATTTAGGTGTTATAAATTCATTAAACTTGAAGTGCCTGTGCAGCATAAAGTTATTTTAAGATTCTCAAAATGGCATTGTCTTTTTTAGTATTCTGTTAGGGTATGAGCTAAATCAGACAGCCGGAGACTGACAAATCTAAAGGATCAAATAACATTATAGGAGAAGGTCTAGCCCAAACGTGCTGATATGCATCAAAGAATCAGAATAAATCAAGCAACATTTGTAGCTACCATTACCATTAACAACTGATTTCTTGAGTAATTTTTTAATTATGTGTGCCAAATGGCATCAAGCAAAAGTAATAAAAATGTAGGACACCAAAATATACTACCCAGTCTAAAAGAAAAATTAGATAATAATGAATAAAAATCTATTCCGAAGTATTCCCCTTGCCAGTTACGTGCTTGGAGATTCTAAATGTCTAAAAGAGCATTGTGCTTGTATTAGTTCTAAGCACTATAGTTATATGAAAAAAATTTTTTTCTAAGCTAAGACTAAGAGTTACTTTCAAAAAAATATGTATTATTCCAATTTAAAAATGTTTAAACTATTAAAAATGTCAGTATTGGTGAGGAAAGAAGTGCTAATTACTTGTTTAATTTTAATCACTTGAAGGAAATGTTTTTTTTAACATGTATACTTAAACTGTGAAATTCTGTTATAAAATATTTCGGTATCAAGTTGTGCGTTAAAACTTTTAACTAATTTTACACAATGTCGCAAATTTTCACAAATCCATGAGAAGTAAGCCTGCTAATCTCATGACATATCTGTATTTATCATAGCTTACTATAAGTAGGTTATTTTAAACTAACCCTTATTAGATATTACCTTAGTTAGTTAAGAAGTTATATGGGAACACTTTGGGCCAACAACAATATAATATTTCCCCACTCAAGTGGGTCCAAACCAATGAACAGTAAATTTGACCACTGCTGACAAATTAATGATTAATTTATAACAAATTTACACATGACTTATAATAAAAAATTAAATAATAAATAACAATTTAAAAGTAAAATATAAATCCATAAAAAATTTTTTTTTAATGTTTCCCAGTGAATAAATATCAATACATAGATTCTCAAACAAAAAGAGCATATCTCAGTAAATGTTTCATGCAGCAACTATGACTTAAATGGAGGTTTGGTTTGTCTGTGAGAAATCTCCAGATCATTGGTGATAACTTAACCTCTCTCTGGTATAAATAAAAGTATTTTTCTGTTTAATTTAATGGCTTGCTTAAATCTTTAGTAACCATACTGTTTCTTGTTTCTGGTTAAAACATATTACAATAAAAGCTTTTATGAAATAAAGGTCATGTCTGATACATTAAAAAATAGTTAATATTTAACCTTTGATGAGTGATAGTATGCACCAAAGATAATCTGTTCACATACCGCCATCAATATTTTAAAATAAAACAAATAAATTTTAATACTAGTCTATCAATTCACTTTTCAGTAACACAAAAACAAACATTTTCTCATTAATCACCAAATTATAATTTTCTCACGAGTCATCGCGTAATCTTTTTCTCCCTCGCCTGGCTTGCTTCTGGTCTTCTTCTTGAATTTCCTTCTCCAGTTCAGCACAGGCTCTTTCAATCTCATAGTTTTTACTCACTAATCCAACCCAACTTGTTTCCAGATCCCTCAATTTTTCTCCAGCTTGAGTTTGTTCTGTTTTACGTTGCCAGTTGATTTCTTGAATCTTTTTACGAAGTTCCTGCAATTTAAAAAAAAAAAGGGTATATCAATATCAAAATAAATATAGACTTAGAAATTTCAGTCAGAAAAAGAATTTATCCCATGCTTTATATTTTAATTCTAGTTTGATTACTCATTATTATAAAATTACAAGACTATTTTGCCCTGGAGAAATTTTTGGGTACAATTTTCTTTCTTTTACTCCCAGACCCAATTTAATGTATTAAAATTTTTAAAACTATCTCCTTTACACCTGATTATTTAGTTCTAGTTTTTATTTCACCCACCACTCTGATCAACCATACCCTCTGTTAATAATTTTTTTTTTTAAACTAGTTCTTTAAAAAAAAAAATTTTAATGAAGGATATGCAAATTGATTAGCATTTAAATAGAATTTTTAATCTGAGGGACAAACCATTTTTTACCTGCAACTGTTTCTGTGCCTGCTCAATCATGCTACCAACCACTGAATTATAGGACCGCCATGCAGCAGATCCATATTCTGACATAAGTTCTAGATTAAGTATTCTTAAAGACTGATGTTCTAGCTGGGCTTGAGAGTTATCTACACATTCTTGCCAGGCTGTTATATCAGTCATCTTCCCAGCTGGAGGTGTAGGAAGTTCATATCTCTTCATGCTCATCATGTCCATTGGTAAGCGAGCCTATAGAGAGAGTGGAGAATGAAATGATTTATAACTGGGCAAAGTTGACACACTTGTTAAGATCAAAATTTGATTGACTAATCATCTGATTGTAATTTTATTTTAAAAGCCTATTATTTACCATGCCTTCACAGCATCATAATTGACCTAAATTACATGTTGTAGAAAAAAAAAATCAAGAACATTACAGAAAGTTGAGATTACATTTTTAACCTAAAAAAACTACCTTGTTTAATTTATCTTCTAATTCCAATATGCAGTGTTAACTTTAGTTTTTTGGGCCATATTACTAATATAAAAGATTGGCTGTCTTCAGCACCTAAACTAGCTCTAGTTTCACTGAGTTTATATTATGACATTATAAGCCATTAATATAGCATGTCACCATGTGATTCAATTCATAATACCTATAGTATGCACTTCTGTAAAACAAGAGAAGACTTACTTCAAAATTTGTCTAGGAAATGGGCTTCAGTGCAAAAAAATCATCTGAGTTTATAATTTTTTGATGTTTTTCCATTGATGAAGAAAGGAATATTTGGTCATAAAATTGCTGTATCCTTTCGCATGTTAACTGTTAAATCTTGGCCCACATTACTATTGATTTATTTTGCTTTTACTTTTACATTATAGGGCATTTTTCCATGTATAGCTTTAGTCAAAATAGAATATATACACCTTCCCAATTTATTGTATCTTTTCAGTATACTTTGATGTACACTAGAGCCAATTTCCAAAGCCATATGTTGTTTAGCAGAGATGCTTTGATTTTAATTAGTGAACCAGGATGGTGCAAAGTCAATATGTGGCATCTTCCCATGTTTTGATTTACAATTTAAAATGTACAATATATTCCTTTCTTTTTTATTATATACATTCAGTATACATTGATGCACATTAGTTTCAAGCCAATTTTCAAAGCAATATGTTTTTTTACCAGAGACACTATGATTTATATTAGTAAGTTGGATGGTGCTTGATCTAACTACGATCACTTCGACCACCAATCCCTTCATAATAGCGAAAGCAGTTTATCAGCTCCAGTTCACATAATATATTTATTTAATTTGAGTAAAGGTCATTATAAAATATAATTAGAATATATTTCCAACATAGTTTAATAGTATTGAAAGGCAAATGTGGGTCTTGAATCATGCAGTCACATTCTTACATTTAGAGAAGTGTGCAGCCATTGTCATGAGCAATGAGACAGTACAGTATATAAGCTTAGAGCACTCACAGAGTTTCAATCATAAGTATGAACACTATGGGGTGTGCAAACAATAGTTAACTAATTAATCATGTGAAAATTTGAAAGTTACAAAAATATATCATTTCCAGAATCTTTTAAGGAATGCATTGCCGATAATGACTTAATGAGTATACCATAATAACATAGCCTGGCTTAGATTGGTTAACGGAATAGCCTTTCAATACATACCAGACCGGTTACCTATAATACTATAGCAATGATAATGATATCAAGGTATGCTACAACTTTTTTATTTTTTTACCAGAGTAAAAATGTAAGTTTGAATTTCTCTTTGAAATACAAATTATAATATAGAATATATCCCAAAAATAACAGTTATTGCAAATTATCATAAAAACATCAGTTATAGCAGATGGCGAGAACTGTAGAATTGGGTCACAAAATGATTGAAAATGTGGAGTCCATAGTACTACCATAATAATAACAAATTAAAAACATGCTCATACTCACAATTTAAAAATTCATAGTCATAACCATAGTAGTAGTAGATATAGCTCAAAAACTAATAAAACTAGACAGTTGATTCTGGTTTTATTTTATTTGAAGTTTGCTCTATACAACTCATGACAACTGTAATATTTTAATTAAATGAATTTCTTTTTACTAAAGTGTCTTAAGTTAACGCATTTACCGTTCTGCCTGAGTTAACTCGGGCTGCTAAATTGGTCCGACAAACGGTCACCACGAGTTATCACGTCTAAATAAATAAAAGACTAACATAGCCCAGTGGCCACGATTAAACTTGTCCAAACTAAATAAAAGCAAATGCGGTGTTAGGATCTTGTGTCTTTTGTTTTTCTGATATGTATCTACTTTCGCATTGCAGACTGTAAAAAAATTTCTTTCTCTTTTCCTAATTTTCTTGCAAAAAGATATCAATCATGAATCATTTAGTTCTCAATTTTTAATTTATCATATTCATATTCAATAGCAGATGGTACATTATATTTTTAAAATTTTACTATTTATTTAGCCATGGCGACACGCAAACATTTATCAGTTCAACGAGTACAGGAGCTATTATTTCAAGACACTGACAGCAGTAATGAAATATTGGAACCAGGGTTTTTACCCTATCGGAACTAGGGTTTTGACCCTATCGGAACTAGGGACAAAACACGCAAATAACGTTGGGGTGCTATCTCTCCAAATAAACCCACTTAAGTTTAATGTAGCCAAGTGTTGGAGTTATGTTTAAGTTTAAGGCAAGAGGATGAACAGTAAAAAAATATTGAACATTTGTGAAACTCACCTGAACTCTTTCCATCTCGTTTTTAATAATTTCTGTTTCAAATGCATGATAATTTGGATTAGGCAAATAATCGAGGTAATTTTTTGTCGGGCGATAACGTCTTGTTTCCTCCTCAACAAGGGCAATAGCAGCTTCTTTTACTCCAGGATCATCATATCCTTGATCAAAGTATGGTAAGGCATCGACAACAACTTCTCCGGCCATTTTGTATCCGAGATTGTCTTAAAAAGTATAATTGTAAAACTGGTCTGCTTTCCACTTCAAATAAATGAATGAAAGCTGAAGTAAATTTAAGATCTTTCATTAATATGTAAAAAGAAAACAGCTGGGTAGCCAACAACTGTGGAATTTGATCCCGGCTTTCCTTTTGTCATTTAAAAAAAAAACATCATGAAAATAACTATATCCTTGTTGCCTTGTTCGCTACACGATTTGGGGGTAACAGGCTGTGGCTATTCGAACTTTTCGGACCCGGAAATCAGACGTAAGAGGTTGGGTTTATTAAAAAATATTAAAAACATTTTTGTAAGGTTTGTACAAATTTGGCATCAAATGAAAGATAATTGAATGGACTAAACTTACTTCTTCAGTTTAACTAAAAATAAACTACCACAAATGACATCCAAATATCATTTAGTTTAAAGGGACCTGGGTACAAATACAAGGATCCAAATTTCCCATTCCTATCCCAATCCCCTGTGGATCCTTTCCCTGTTGTGACCCCAGTTTCCATATATGATCCCGATCCCGATTGGATCAAGAATCCAAGTGGGAGCCCATATCCCAATGGGATTCCAATTCCAAGTGTTATTCCATATCCTGATGTGATCCCGATCTAGTTGAGATCCCTTTCCCAATCCCAATAGGATCCATATCTAGTTGGTATCCCTCTCCCGATCCAAATAGGATCCTGATGTGATCCAGACCCCGTTGGGATGCCGCTTCCAAGTGGTAACCCAATCGTGATGGAATCCTGATTCCAAGTGGGAACTACTATGCCGATAGGATCCCAATTCAGGTGTAATCCCTTTCCCGGTGGGATACCGACCCCATTGGGATCCCGATGAAATACTGATGGGATACCGATTCCATGTCCCAAGTGGGAGCCAATATTCTGATGAGTTCCATTTTCTGGTTGGATCCTGTTGCCGATAGGATCTCATTGCATTCTCATTGGGAGCTTATTTCCAGATGCCATCTAAATTTAAACACCCATTGCGGTCCAGATGGGATTCCGTTTCCAGATGGATTTCCATCGGGAGATGGGATCCCGTTCCAGGTGGGATCTCGACCCCAATGGGATCCCTGGATCCAAATCCCAGTGGGATCCCATATATAAAGATAACTCAGTGGTTTCGAGAAAATCACCAGGAAAGTAAAGAAATAAATAAAAATACATTAAAACTTTAAAAGCTTTTTGATCCACTATTTATCCATTGTAATCAAATAGAACTTTCTGGAACATTGTATCATAGTCACAGTGTGCTCCAGTTTTCCGGTGGGATCCCGATAAGGTGGGGTCCCAATACCGATGGGTTCCGATCCCGTCGTATCCAGTTTCCCGGTGTGATCCCGTTCCCGGTATGATCCCGTTCCCGGTATGATCCCGATACCGGTGAGATCCCAATACTGATGTGATTCCGTTTCCCGGTGTGATCCCGTTTCCTGGTGGGGTGCCTTGATCCCGTTTCTCGATGGGATCGCGTTACTGATGGGTTCCAGTTTATTTAGGATTCTGTTCCTCCTTGGGATTTTGTTCCTGGTAGGGTTATGAAGGGCGTGTTTAGAGGAAATCCCCAGGAAAGTCTAGAAATAAATAGAACTAAACTGACATTTCAATGAGCTTTTAGATACCATTATATATCCACTAGAACAATAGAGAATTTCTTGAACATTCTAGATTAAATTTAATATCCTACCGGTACTCGAAACGTTTGAAAATATATTTTCTACGTAATTATTCTTCGAATAATAAAAATTATGCAACTAAATGCACTACCTATAACTACGGTACATTTAAGTTGAACGGTTAGAGGGTTGGGGGGGGGGGGGCATTCCATAATTTTACCGAATTAGTTTTGCCTGGGATTGGGGGGGGGCATAAAAATCATTCAGGGAGGTTATGGGGTTAAAATTTAAAATTTGTCCCATTA